TTTGGGCTTTAGTAAAGGCTGTGCTGAAGTCCCAAATGCCCCCAAAACTGCTGTCATCGCGATGGGGTGCGAGCGCCTCGTCACCTTGTCAGGTGGTGAGGGGAGGGTTTGGGGTGCTGTTGTTGGGTGCCTCTTGTCACCCCGGTGTTGAGGGAAAGGAGCATGGGGTGTATGGAGGAGCAGAGGGGCTCTCGTGTCCCCTTCGGAGCCCAGTTGTGTGGCTTTGTGTGGCTAAGGTGTAAGCGTGTTGCACAAGAGCTATGGGTGACCTGATGCTGGGTTGCGGTTTGGTGTGTGTATATATATGTGGTTTTATAGCTCTTAAGGTTATTGAAATGGATGGCACTTAGAGGAAGGATGTAGGAAGGAACTGCTGTGTTATATATAGCAAAGAATCGGGGACAGTCGCTCTTCCAATTGCAACGTAAGTGGCAAAAGTGGAATGAAGGTAAATGTCTCTTCAGCTTACTCTAAAGTAGCCAGCAGTGAAAGAGCAAGTGAAGATACCAGGGCTTTGTGTGAAGTTTTGCACTGCTTCCATATTGTCTTCTAAGGGAAAGCTTTTGCTTTCTTCATACAGATGGAAGTACTTAAAGATTCTGGTGTTTCTGTTTTGTCTCACTTAATAAATCCTTATAAGACTGGGGGAATGTTTTCTCACAAGCTTTGCTGGAGTTCCTGAGCTAATAGCTTTTATTTTTCTCTTTTCCCTTCTTTTTTTCTTGCCCCCCCCAGGAGATTGTAAGTGGGGAGAGCGAGGAGGAGAGTAACGGTGTCAACTTGATGGAGTTCTCAGATGAGATCCTTTTGCACATCCTCAGCTACGTCCCTTGCACAGACCTTGTCCTGAATGTCAGGAGAACCTGCAGGAAACTCGCAACTCTTTGCCTTGACAAGAGTCTAACGCATACGGTTTTACTTCAGAAAGACTATAAGGTGGGGAGAGTAGCTTGCTGCTTCTGTGAAGACAAACCTGACTTGTGAAAAATGCAAAGAAGTAGAACTTTCCAGTGTGTAAATGAACCACTCTTGATCTCTGAAATCAAATAAACAATAAACTGTTCTATAAAAGCATTTGTTTTCTGGAATGCTTTGTTAGAACAGCTCTGTGCTCTCTTAGTTATATAAAATACTGTCAGTGAAGACTATCTTCTCTGTGTTTCTGGAAGCTAAAATGAAAGTAAACGTGACTTCCCATTCGTTGCTGTGGTTGTGTAAAGTGACCATTTTCCCAAAGTACGTTTTCCACGTTCATGCATAAAAAAAAGTCTTCTACATATTGCTGTCAGGCATGGGGTCAGCTAAGCCAGAAATGGTATACGTGTTATAGCAGAAATCAGGCTGGGGAATGAAGGGTGATACATTTTATAAGGACTGTATCACCAAGCGCAGGCGAGGCAAAGCCTCTCTTGCTCATTTCCAAAAGAGGAAATTGGATGAAGGGGAATGGAAATGTTCTTCTTTCAGTTTGAGTTTCCATAGATGGCTAGTTCTGCTGAAATAGCTTTGCTGTTAGAAAATGGAGATAGTTTTCCGCTGCTGAACAAATTTGGCCTCACAGTCAGTAATGCAGAACTGCAGAGACTAAGAAGCTAAAGGATGGCAGACTAAGCCAGCTACCAGCAGTATAATGATTCTTAGACTGTGCTAGAGCCTCAAAACTTGGATGAGCCACATAATCTTAAGCGCTAACCACTCTTATCCCTATCTTCAGATGGGGAAACTGAGTCAGTAAACACCATTGCTGTGTATATCTCATTGAATGTGGTTTTGTTTGAGAACAGGTAAACAAAGACAAAGTGAAGCAACTGATGAGGGATATCGGAAAGGAGATTTACCAGCTGAACATGGCTGGGTGCTATTGGCTGCCCAGCTCCACTATTGACCACGTAACACGATGCAAGAACCTGGTAAAACTGAACTTGTCTGGGTGCCACATCACCTCCCTCCGCCTCTCAAAGATGCTGTCCACGCTCCAGCACCTGCACTCCCTGGCCATAGATGTCAACCCAGGCTTCGATGCCAGCCAGCTAAGCAGTGAGTGTAAGGCCACTCTGAGCCGTGTCTCAGAACTGAAGCAAACCCTTTACACGCCGTCGTATGGTGTCGTCCCGTGCTGCACTAGCCTGGAGAAACTGCTGCTGTACTTTGAGATCCTGGATCGCTCACGAGAAGGCTTTATGCTCTCTGGGCAGCTAATGGTAGGTGAGAGCAATGTGCCCCATTACCAGAACCTGCGGGTGTTCTATGCCAGGCTGGCTCCTGGCTATGTTAACCAGGAGGTGGTGAGGCTGTACTTGGCGGTGCTGAGTGATCGGACACCTGAGAACCTTCACGCCTTCCTTATTTCTGCTCCCGGTAGCTTTGCAGAGACAGGAGCCACTAAAAACCTCCTGGACTCTATGGCTCGAAATGTACGTCTGGATGCTTTACAATTGCCCAAAGCCTGGATTAATGGCTCTGGGCTCCTGCAACACTTGAAGTTCAACAACCCTTTCTACTTCAGCTTTAGCAGATGCACCTTATCTGGTGGCCACCTGATCCAGCGAGTTATTAATGGTGGGAAGGATCTTAAAAGCTTGACCAGTTTGAATCTCAGTGGCTGCGTTCACTGTCTGGCTCCGGAGTCCTTGTTTCGAAAAGCAGAAGATGACATTGACAGTAGCATTCTGGAAAGCTTGGTAGTGTCTTGCTGCAACCTGAGACACCTCAACCTGTCTGCAGCTCACCATCACAGCTCAGAAAGCATAGGGAATCACTTGTGCCAGCTTCTGTCCAGGCTAAAGCACCTGCTCTCATTAGCACTACCGGTTTGCTCCATCACAGATGTTGCTGCAAACGTGGAAAAACCTCCCACAGTGTCTAAATTGGTGCCCCAAACCTTTGGAAGGAAAGTTCGGATTGGGATACAGACATATCCAAGGAACTTAGCAGACCAGGCAAATCAGAAGATAGAGTCTTCGGTATTCTGGGCTCTGATGGGAAGCCTCCGGTATTTGGAAACCTTGGAAATCATTGGGTCCAGTTTTTCCTCTGCCATGCCCCGCAATGAGCCAGCAATTAGGAACTCATTGCCTCCTTGTGTCCGGGCACAAAGTGTCGGGGATTCAGAGGTGGCTGCCATTAGCCAAGTGACTTACCTGCAGAGCCTCACCTTAGCACAACTGCCAAATATCCTCACTGGCTCTGGGCTTATTCACATTGGATTGCAGTGCCAGCATTTGCGGACTCTTTCCTTGGCCAACCTGGGCATGATGGGGAAGGTGGTCTATATGTCTGCTCTCATGGACATGCTGAAACACTGCAAGTGTTTGAGAGATCTCAGGTGAGGGGCTGCCACTGAACGTCTCCGTTTTGTCTGTGGATCTCCAGACATGGTTTGTTGTGGCTAGTGTTAAAACTGTGAGTGTTCCTGTTCTGGTCAAAAGTAGCTGCGATGGCTTGAAAACTGGGTGTTTTCCTTCCTGACCCATGGAGGACAGGAAGGCATCGTATGCTGTCCTTGAGGGTTGAAGATATGCCCTTTAACCAGAGTTTTAAGAGCAAAAAAAGTCTCTATGCTGCAACTGCCTTCCTTTTAGATAAGGAAGAGTGGATGCTGCATGTTTGGGAGCTAGCAGCCTGTCAGGGCTAGGTTAAATACCACATACCTTTGCTGACTGTTGACTACATATACATTGAGTCTCCTACAATGTCTAGATAATAGAATCTTAGAATGGTTTGGGTTGGAAAGGACCTTAAGATCATCCAGTTCCAACCCCCCTGCCATGAGCGGGGACACCTCACGCTAGACCGTGTTGTCCAAGGCTCTGTCCAACCTGATCTTGAACACTGCCAGGGATGGAGCATTCACAGCTGCCTTGGGCAACCCATTCCAGTGCCTCACCACCCTCACTGTAGAGAACTTCCTCCCTATATGTAATGTAAACTTCCCCTGTTTAAGTTTGAACCCGTTACCCCTTGTCCTATCACTCCAGTCCCTGATGAAGAGTCCCTCCCCAGCATCCTTATAGGCCTCCTTCAGATAATGTAGAGTTCTCCTTAGGTTTCCCAACGAGATACTTTTGTGCCTTTGGTTTCTATTAAAATCTTGCCTCTTTGTTTTTTTATTTTTCAATAATGTATTGAAAACATTCCAAATCTAGTATTTGTCCTGTTGGTGTTCCTCTCCTGGTAGGATTTAAAGGATCTTACCAAGGATCTGCTCCTAACCGGTGCACAAAGGAGCTTCACAGCCAAAACATGCACAAACTGTGATAGTTTCCAGTCTGTCTGAACACAAATGCTACTGCATTAGAAAGATGTTTTTTCCTTCTTTTTTCCCCTAAATTAGCTTCTGTTGGTGAAACTGCTAGACCTGTCAGTCCTGTTGTCATCCTCTGTTCACAAATGGGTCTAAAATAACAGTAGTAACAGCAAAGTCACTCCTGTGATTCCCAAAACCAGAGTGACTAAAATCATTGCTCATCAGCTGAAACTGGTGTTTGTGTGTTCCTAATCCATTGCAATAGTGAAGGGAGCCAGGGTGGCTAAAACACCTCAGGAGGATTATCCTTTTCCACCACCTCCCATTTATAACAGGCAGGGAGTGTGTTGGTCTCTCATTTGAGAGATGGAAATTCAGTTGCTTAATGGTTTGGGTCTGGCAAATGTCTCTTTAACCTTCAGGACACTAAATAGCCATGGAAGAACTAAGATCTGAGGAAGGAGGTTTGGGTGTGCAGTGTTGCTTCATTCAGTCTAAACCCTGCAGTTCCCAGAGACTTTGAAATGGAGACCAAGGGCGACAAAGATGGGAGGCAGCACAGAGCCTTGAATAAAAGACCAAGAAGGGTGTTTCCTTGTAACATCCAGGCGTTTCCATGTAAGCTGTCATTGTTCTTTCCCCAGTAAAGTTTAAGGTTTTATATAGGTTTAAGAGGATTCTAATGTTTAGCATTTCCTCCTGATAATGTCGTTTCCTTTTCATCTGACTAATTCTCTGCTGCTTCTACTCTTTTTTTAGCCCTCCCCATTTTCCAGGCTGAGAAACTAGTTTAAGGAGCTATTCCAAAGCAACATTGTCACCTAGCGAGTGAAAGGCGGCATTGCAAGCATGGCTGTCACATCACAGAGATTAACCTAGAAACCTGCAGGGAGGTTACAAGAGATTTTGTGCTTTTTGTCCTAAATTTATGAGGGAACAATAACGCTGTTGAAAACTTGAAGTGGCTGAAGTGATTTTAAGTTATGACCCAAAGCGTTCACAAGCTGTTAGGATCTCTTCAGGCAATGCTACCTGACCAGCAGTCACAGGTTGAGACTCTAAACCAGAATTTATCAACTGACAGGATTAAGTTACTGAGATACCCCTGCATACTACAAAAGCCTATGCAGAGATTATCCAGTTCAGGTTGGGACCAGCACCTTGTTATCACCTAATGGATTAACCTTTTTGGAGCTCTTGGCCTTGCTGACCCAATGACTGGGATTCCCAAGTGCTCAGAGGCCCTGTAGTAAATCTGCACTAAGCAGATGTACTCTCTTGGTGTCATCAGCTCTGCAGACTGGTTTCTGTGAGGGCATCATCTGGTTATGCTGCTAGTTAAAACGTAGACCCATTGGTGGTCAGGTGTGGCTTCACCATGTCATTTTGTCATCCTGCTCTGGGCTGTGACATAAGATTGCCATGACAGAAGATCCTGTCTCTCTTGGTCCAAGTGTTTAAGATAAAGGTTGGATTGATGATGGTTATTCTTACTGTAGGAGAGCAGTAGCTTTGATCCATTGCCATTCTCTGGCCAGGGAGGGCTGGTTGTGGTCACTCTGGCTCAGAGGCCCAAATTCTGCATGACAGCGTGTGCATTGGGAACTTTCACGGCTGCTTCTCTCCAGGCATGAAGATATGACCAGTTTGATCAGTGTTGGTGCACTGGAGCATTAGGTCCCTAAATCCACATCAACTGCTTGGTGGATGTCGGGTAGCAAAAGCCAGGCTTATCCTAAGACCAGAATGGATCTGCTGCTCAGCCCTAGCATCTTACCCCACATGCTTTGTGGAAAACTTGAAGAACCAGGGTTACTCCTGGAATTCTGCAGTTTAGGGCCTTTCTGCCTATTTGTGTGCTTGTCCTTTAGCACACACCGTTCAAGACTTAACTACCAAGCAAGAGGTCTGAGCTTGCAAAGTTGGGTTTGTTATGCCCTACTGCTGGCACAAGCACTAGTAGAAGGTCATTGTGTCTATAAATGAAACAGGCTCTGGGCGACACCGATTGCTCTACACTTGCCAGCCCCCCCATGAATGAGCTGTCTCCCCTCTTGTCTACAAGCAGCCCAAGCTTGAATTACCCATTGACTTGTTGTTGTTTATTCCTGCAGGCTGGAACAGCCGTACTTCTGTGCGGGCGCCCAGTTCTTCCAGGCCCTGAGTCACTGCTCCTCTCTCCAGCGGCTTTGCATCGTCTCCCGGAGTGGGACTCTGCAGTCTGACGCAGTGATGTCATTCATGGCCAACTGCCTTGAGGTCATCATGTGCCACATGTTTATGGGAGAATCTCTTACCGTTTGCAAAAGTCTCCAGCAATCTATTGTCCGGAGGTAAGTGCGGAAAGAGGTTGATGTGGGATTTCTGGAGCTGGTGAAGATTTATCTCCCATTTCCTTGGCTTGCCAAGGTTTATATGGCTTAGAGCGCTTGTTCCAAGAAGCTAATAGGTACTGTGTAACCACTTGGCACGTGAACTAGCCTCTTATTTTAATAAGAGTGAATCAGTGAAATATTTGAAGGTATTATATGAATTTTTGATTCCATTCCCACCCTTGTTCCATGAGCTGAGTTGAAGTTTTGGATGTAAACCTCCTTTATTAATCAAATTACGCTTTTGGGGTAAACAAAACATCTGCCGACATTTTAAGTACTGAAGAGCTCTGACCTTGAAGCTTTCCTCCTTTCCCACAAGTGACTTAGATAATTCTCTGTCCTCTAATCACTTGTAAATGTCACTTGCTGATAATCCCCTGGCAGCACAATTCAAAGCCTTTAAAGGGTTGTTGTGAAGGGTTTTTCTTGGGGGGGGGGGAGAGAACTGGTACAAACTCCCTTTGCACAGTTCTTAAATGCATTTTGCGTGGCCCCTTGCAGTGTTCTGAGGCTCTCACGTGGTGGGGAAACGTTTGTGTGTGAGCCGTGAGCTGCATTTGAAAAGAGAGCTTTTAATGACGCTTGGCATTTTGAAATCTCCTCGTAGTGGCAGTCACCTCACAAAATATTGCCCGTGCAACACACTTTCCATTAGGATGATTTCTTTTTTCCTCCTCCTGTAAGGCTTTTTCTCCGCCTTCCCTCTGTTTTCTTTGTCACCTACTGCTGCTGTGCCCTGTTAAGCTCTAATAAAAATTTCAAATCACACAGCATTATGACTGCATCCTAAAGGCTGCTCCTCCCCCCCCGAGCCTTCCTCCAGCTTCCAACTGACTTATTACACTTGGCTTGTTTCCGCGGATCAAATCCAGAAGAGCCTATGACTATATTAGCTACCTACCAAACCGCACACGAGATCGTTTGTAACTGCCTCTAAAACCCTCTGTGTCCTTCTGGGATGGGGATTGTTGGAAACATCAAAGTAAATTCCTTGTGATAGGACAGGGATTCTTTGAGTTTGTTTTTCACAGGGCTTCATCGCTGTAAAAACGTTCCTTGGTTGGTTTCAGTTGTGCTTTGGGGATCCTTAGGAAGAGCCACAGATCCACAGGCCCCAGTTTTATTTTGTACTCCCCTCTGAGGTGCCACAGATCTTAATTTCCACTTCCTGAGCAGAAATACACTGTTCTGCAGTTCTTTCTCCCTCTTTTTCTCTACCTTGGACAGATTGTCACTACATTCTGTACCTCTTAATAATTTAAACCCTGGGAACATTCCAAAGAGCAGCTGATGCCTTATGGAAATGTTAAAAACTATATTTATATTTAGCAACAGTTCTGGCTGTCATATTATTTTTCTTCTTTTGTATTTTATTAATAGAGGCATTCGCATGAAAACAGGAGGTTTTGAGGGTTTTTTTGTCTTTTTTTTTTCTCTGAAGAGCATCTGCTCCCACTGCAGATTCCACACCTGAAGTCATAATCCCCTGTGACATTGTAATTGGTGGCTCTGGAAACGATTTTGATGTCACGTAAGATTATGACTTCAGGAGGAGGATAAGCAGTGGGAGCAGATGCTCTCCTAAGCAACAAAGATCCCCTTCTCATGCAACTGTCTCTAGTGATAAAATGGAAGGAACAAAATACAGAAAATGATGTGTAAGCAAAGCCTGGAGTCTTCCACGAGCCATCAGTGAGTCTTTAGCCACGTGACTTTTCCAGTGATCCCATTCTCATCCTTCAGATGGGGTCGGGAATTGGCTCTTGACTGCATTTTGTCTGCTACTTCAAGGGCAAAGAGATGTGCAGTAAAATCCGTGTGTGAGCTAGTTCATAGCTTAAACCTGTGGGTAAGGCTCCAATTCACAGAGCTTGGCTTCCTCTAAGGATATGCTGCTAGTGAATCCTTAATCCAGGTTTCAAATTGGAAGAGTCCATGGGGCAGCGAGTTATATATCCTTGTCACAGAATAAAATAAGGTGATTTGTCCCTTTCTTTTTGTTGTTGTTTGCCTGTTTGGAATGTGTGCAGATGCTGCGTGTGCGGGGAAAGCATGGAGAGTGGGTGGGAAGGAGGAGGCGAGAGGAGGGAAAGCAAGGAAGGATGTGAGCCTGTCTTTGTTTGCTCCTGTTCTTGAAATGGGGGAATTAATCTGTATTCCTTAGGTTTCATTAAGGGTTAGAGTTCCTGATTTAGGGGTATGGAGAGGGTCTTGTTTAGGCAGAGAGCAGCCAAGTGATTGCTGGTTTTGAACAGGGAGATGGGGTCAAAGTGACTCTCATTCTCCCAACGCCTCTAAAAAGAGAAGAAAAATGAGTGGGAGTGGAAGGGTCTAGGGCTGGGAATGCACCAGTACTTTGCTGAGGGGGGCTTGAAAATGCAATCTAGTGCAGAGCAATCCTTTTTCAGACATGGATATGCACAGGAGGGTTTGGATCACAGAAGAGTCTGGGCCTGATCTGGGGAGAACAGACTGGTTTCAGCTGCGGAGTTGTACTGGAAGGTGGTGCGTGTACAGGGTGTGGTGATGGGAGCTTGGGTATTAAGTCTGAATCACACCAGTGGCTTAAAGCCTGATTTGAAGCTCTTCCCTTTGACTGTAAAATAAGGTTAGTATTAATGTGTTTCTGTTCTACTGGCTGGAGAAGAGAGTTCTCGTGTCTCTTAGTCTTGTGACAGCTCTAAACCAGGCCCTTTGGTGTCCAGCTTTCTTGTAGGCAGTTTTCTGGTTGAAGTTTGCTATTATTTGGGACAAATGAGTTTACATATTTAAGTCATTAAAATCCTCTGTTTCAGTTCTGCCTCTTTTGCAATGACACCCAGTAAGCAAAACAGCACTCATCTGCAGCCCTCATCAGCAAACAAGAGGCTTGCAAGGGCAAGGTCTCCTCTGAGCTTTAGAGAAGACTGTTTCCCTCTGGGCAGATAAATCATTGCAGTGTTTTTCTTTATTCTGTTTTTTTTCTGCGTGAATGGGAGGGGTAATCTCCTTATGGGTTCAGGGAGATACTCTGTGCACATAAGAAGGGCCTAGTGGTTAGAGTGGGATGTGTGGCTTGAGTGATCCATATCCACCTTCCTGATCTTCCTCAGCTTCACATGTGACAGTGGTCTGGTCTTGGTTTCTCTGTAAAATGACATCTTTTTTCCTATCACATGGTGCTCAGCTGCTGCCACACTCCAGATAGCAGCAGATTTCACAAACAAAATCTAAAAATCCCTTTTATGCTTGGACCTTAACTTTGCCAAAGTGCTTAACTCCAAGCACGTGTTGTCTTTGTTTAAATAGCTCTGCTGTTAAAACCACTGCAGTGGTTTTAACCAGAAACACTAAAATACCACAACTTGAGGACCCACTGTTGTAGTTTCAAGACCTGTTGCTGTGCAGAGCGGCTTCTTTGCAGGAAAGGGAGGTTTGGCTTCTCCCTTTTGGGCTGAGTTGCTGTGTTGGGATTCGAAATGCTTGCAAAGAGACGTGTGTCCAAAGCCCGGTCCGGGGGGACGGGACTTGCTTCCAGCAGCTTTCCGAGGGTTTTCACGCTGTTATTTTGTGAAGTAGTCAGTAGATGGAGCTGTGACCTATGGAAGGTGTCCCACTGCTTACTCATGTGTTGCATGCGAACGATTCGTGTTTACACGCCTGTATTTCTCTGCCCTAGAAATCTTGCGGGCAAGGAATTTGGATGACTGGAAGCTACATGGCACACGTTTAGCGGGCACTTCATAAGCGTGCAGGAGAAATTGCTTTACCAGCAGAAAACAGACTGGAAAAGGGGATGGGAAATGCTTTGGCAAATATCCCCTTGGCCTCAGTGATAGGTTTTATTTTCCAGTGTGTTCCTTTGGAATTTGATCGGGTTTATCTTGAGTGTTTAGGTATCAGTGTAATGATTTCAAGGACTCTACAACACCAGACAATAGAAGCCTGTGAAAAGTCCTTGAAAAAACCACCTTGGAAAAGATCAAGAAAGCAACAATTAAAAACCTCCAACCAACCAAACCCCGCAAAATCCCTGAGAGCATCATTAGGGATTCTTCATTCATAGGAGAAAAGTGTCAAGGTATAGAGGTGAGTTGTGATTTATAGAAATGCAAACCAAGGTAAGCCATGGTAAGAGAGCGTGGTCAGGAAGCCAGAGACCATGGTGCAGCTGAAGTGTGGTTTGGGGAGGTGGTGGGTAGGTCTGAGAGCTGTTGGGAGAAGGGCTGGGGCTGGCTGGGGTCCTGGTGCAGCATCCCCCAAGTGCTGTGGGGTTGGAGTGGGGAGCTAGAGCCCTGGCTCTAGCTCTCTGCCCCTGTTCCTCTAGCCATGCTGGCTGCCTGTCTCCAGCAAATGGCTTTGGAAAGCCAGTGGGCAACTGGTGAGGCTGCACCTTGAATCCTGTGCTCAGTTCTGGGCCCCTCACTACAGGAAAGACATTGAGGTGCTGGAGCAGGTTCAGAGAAGGGCAACGGAGCTGGTGAAGGGCCTGGAGCACAAGTGTGATGAGGAATGGCTGAGGTGGTTTAGCCTGGAGAAAAGAAGGCTCAGGGGGAGACCTTATGGCTCTCTACAACTACCTGAAAGGAGATTGTAGTGAGGTGGGTATTGGTCTCTTCTCCCAGTTACAAAGCCATAGGACAAGAGGAAATGGCGTCAAGCTGCACCAGGGGAGGTTTAGATTGGATATTAGGAACAATTTCTTCACTGGAAGGGTTGTCAAGCATTGGGACAGGCTGCCCAGAGCAGTGGTGGAGGCACCATCCCTGGAGGTGTTTAAAAGACATGTAGATGTGGTGGTTGGGGACATAATGTAGTGGTGGCCTTGGCAGTGCTGGGCTAATGGTTGGACTCAATGATCTTAAAGGTCTTTTCCAACCTAAACAATTCTGTGTTTCGACAACTGAGGGTTAACCAGTGCTGGAAAGTGCAGAGAATTTTACTGGTTTAGGACAATCTGCCCGTTCTGGGGATCCAAG